TCGGCCTACCTTATAGGTAGCCCGAGTAATAACTTAATTTAATGAAAGTGTTAAACTTACTAGGGTGTTTTTTCGAGCATCTACCTCCTTTCTTTATTCTTGTTTGCAGCTTCAAGGGCCGAAGTCYTCGCACAAAGGGCATTCAGCTCATACGCTGTTTGTACAGGCGCCTTAGTGGACTCTTCATGATCAGTGGACTCTTCAAAGGGTCGTATTGCCTCRAATTCCTCCAAAGAGCTACTGTCTCTGTCAGAAAGGGATTTTATTGCTTGACGAAAGACTCCACTTAGCTGCTGGTCTTGTCGTTCTTCAAAGTGTACGTAGTCTGAAGTGTTTTTGTTGTGGAAATTAGTAGTGTTGTGGTTGCTGTTGTTTTTCTTGCTATTGTTGTTGCTTTCGTTCCTGTTGTTGTGGCTGCTGCCATTCCTCCTCATTACATCTAGATGCTCTGGGGCACTTGCAATAAATGCATGCATAATCTTGGTTTGCTGGACCTAATCCACAGACACATGCTAAGAATTTTCAATCACCTCCTAGGAAGTATTCACTTTTGTCCTTCAACATCAATTTCATGATAGTTTTCCATTTCTGCTTTTATGTGACTTGGACTTTTTGCAAGATTGTCATAGGTTTCCGTGGTTTTCATTACAGCCAATAAATAGTTACCTTTATGACTCCTTGCAATATCCTTTTCATTGAGCATTAAGTTTAAGTAAAATTAACTATTTATTAAATCTTTTGTCAATACTGGTTCTGTTCCATCACCACTCAACTTCACCTTGATTTTATTTTAATTTTTGAGCATCCCCTTGATTTTGAGCCTCTTGGTTTGTTCCGTCAACTTTCTTTAAATGAAATCTGAACACCCTCTGCCTCTCCTGGTGTGTCTGTAAGCCTATACATATTTGGCATTTTAGTTGACTTCAAGGCCAGTTCATGCCAAGCTTCATTGGAAATGTTAAATTTATCCTTTATGTCCAGGCAAAAGTTGAGATCAGTAATTTCCTCATCAGTGAGTGTTATTGTTCTTGACGTTCCTTTTTTTGCCTTGAGTGCTTTCTGTTATTGTTAGTGTATGATATTCTTTGTATGCTGGTATTAGGCATTTGACCTCTGCTTGTGGCAAACTACAGTGCTTGCTTTTCAGTTCACTAGAAGAATTCATGACATGATCTACAACTTCATCGCCAACTATTCCGGTCATGCGCCCGCGTACAAATGCAGCGGTGTCGCTTGAAAGTGTTAAGCGAGTTAAGTCAGATTTTACAAAGAAATGTATAGAGAGTCAAGATAGTTTTCGATTTATAAATTTCTGTGTAAACAGTTTTCCACTTGCCGGGGTAGAAGATCAATATATAACATTAAAGCATTTAATTTTTASCAAACATACTTTAATTTGTTTGGAAAAACCTTTTCGTCTCGATAGTTAGATTTTAACAGCCTTCTTGCCATAAGTGCTTTGTTAAATTGCAAGAAAAATACAAAAGGTCAAATATTATAAACAGGATTTCTCAAAATCAGAACTAGTTACCTCATTTGCCGGGGTCGATCCTTAAAATACACACATTCTAAATTACTGATGTCGAATCTGTGGTCGATTGAACGAATTTATACTTTTCGTTTATCCTCAGCTCTCGTTTGCCATCGTTTGTAATAGGATACCTATTAAAGCACAGGAATACCGTAGCAAAAAGTTATGTTTCTCTAAGTCCGGGCCTGAGAGAGCTTAGGCTTCCTGTGGTTTTTATTTTATACATGATATCCGCTGACTTGGCGAGCGGCGCATGGCCGGAATAGTTGGCGATGTTTGCGCTATCTGCTGGACTACTAGGACGATCAGCCCGTACAAATTGCAAATAATCTTATGGAGGCAAGCAGGGAGCTTGCTGAAACTGGTTTGGCGGATACTGTCCTTCTAATGCCACAAACAATCTTGTCGCGTCTTATGTCATCTTTCAAAATGCCAAATTCACATGTTGATGATAACGATCTAAGCGCTGTTATGTTTTGCTCAACACTTTCGTTTTCTTTCTGTACTAAATAATTATTATTGAATTTGTAGCGCTCATATATAACGTTTGTCTTACCAACACAATGGTCTTGCCATAAATTCATCACTATATCAATGTTGTCTTTCTCTTCTTTGGTTTTGAATGGAAGTCCATTGTGAATCTCCAAAGCTGATGAGCCAATGTGGGTAATAAGCGTCGCAACTCGGAAGCTGCTTTCTCGTTATTTTAGTCCGGTTACTGTTTTGGTAGGCTGACTAAACTTGCTTCCATTTTCTCCAATTCACCGCGAGATTTTCCTTGGATGTTTAGATGCTGTGGCAGTGGCACATTAGACATAAACATCCTCGTATCGCTCGTTTCTGAAGTCGATATCCCGCTAGAAGATGCTTTAGCTGCAGGTCCTTTATTATCCTCTGACATTCTGACACCATGTAGCGTTTGTGTTGATTGTGTGTTCCCTTTTTTCCAACTCATATATGGATGGATATGGATTATGAATGTATATAGCGCCATTTCCAGGAACTCRGTGGCTTTACAAGATCAGTGGAGGACTTTACAGGCTGCATATTAAGGCGCTAGTAGCAGCCGTGCAGCTTACAATCATAAGTGATTTGTTAGTATGTTAGTATTATGCCTCCAGTATAGGATAGGCTGTTGAACCGGGAGACATTCCCCTACTCTTCACGAATAATTCAACGGGTTAGGAAGGGTTGGGAGATAGGGCCTATGGTTAAGTCCTTATCCGAGAAGGCTTGAAGGTCTAACCATTTGCAGATATTATTACAAAGCCAGTACCTTCTCCTCAGTTATTTTAAGACCCTGAGTGTTGGTCCGGCCGAGGCTTGAACCACGACCTCCCGCACAACAGACCGACGCTCTTACCAACTGAGCTACGGGGTGGCGTTTCTTCCAACTCTTTTTCGCTCTTCTTGATTGTGTGCTCCCTATCTTCCAGCTCATCCTTACGTTCTCCCAACTCTTATTCCAATTTTCCCAGCTCCTCCTCTTTTTGTTTTATTGTTTCATTATCTTTCACATTGTCACATCAACGGATTATATTAGCTGAGTGCCCATCTGCAGTGATACCTGCAACAAATGGTTTGAGGCCTGCAAGAATGACAAGACTTCCTCTGAGGATTGGCTGAATGAATACGCTGTGTATCGCTTTGAGAAGGGTCCAATAAAACCTACCGGACCTTGCCGTACTTTTGTCGAGGTAAGTATTCTCCAAAAATAACTCCAAACATGCAAACAGCAGTGTTAATGTTATTTGTTGTCATATTCAGATATAGTTTTTAAAGACATCAAATTTATATAACCGTGGTATGTTGATGGTAAGTTCAGTGTGTACGGCATTGGTTGAAATTATTAATGTAGGGTATGAGGGCTGCATGGATTGGTACAAGGTACAATAGGTGATATATGTACTGATATTCTTGGAGTCGTTTATATCTTTTTAGGGATTTTTCGGTAACGTGGTTGCAAGAATAGAAATGGGTACATGGGGTTTCATTGCTAGTGTTTCGTAGTTAAATGGGCATATCATTGTATTAGATAGCTTGCATGATACATAAGGTGAGAACGGTGGTATGAGTGATTACATCTACAGACCCCTTGCAGTACCTCAGAATGCAGCTCAATTTCGAGGACATTACAATAGGTTTCCAATTCTCATGAGATTAAAATTATTTTATTTTGTCCGCCAAATTGAACTCCTTTGATGCATATTTGAGGTCTATCGAGTGGCTGGGGTATGGTTTGGTATGACTCTTTCATTTTAACATGATATTCTCTTTTTATTCAAGATTTTTAAGAATGGAGAAGGATTGTGTAACAAGATGTGGGGACCAGGTTACAAGTACGACCGTTCTTCCAATTGTATAGTGCATGATTTCAAAAGCGAAAACCCGAACGACAAAGTTGTGCCAGTTCCTTCTTTTTCTTAGACGTTGCTTAAGGGTCAAGAAGTTACGTGGGAGCACCTAAGTTGAAAAATATGTAAACAGCATTTAGCTGTACTGCTCAAAGTATATCAGAGTACGTCAGAAAATCGTTCAATCCAAAATAAATGTTTTACTGAAACTGAGATTAAAGTAATAAATAACAAGTGCAATGTATTTTGTATGAGTATGTATATTCAATCTTTAGTTCATACTCCGTAGTATTTATTGATTGCACTACGCTAAAGAGGTGATTATAGCCTGAGTATCAGGCTCTCTCCGGGGAGGGAGAGAGGCGGAGGGAAAAGAGTCAGTCTCGGAAAGCCCAAGCCCCCCCACCCACCCCCCAAGCGCCCCAGAAGGCCTGATACTTAGGCTAAGGTGATTACAATACGCTAAACTATGCATCCATCATCACTACCCATCCATCA